AAAAAAAAAAAAAAAAAAAAGTACTGGTACAGCCAAACAGAACCTATCCTCCAACTTCCTAGTACAAGCTGTGTGAGCCCCCACCTCTGAGCGCCTCAGGCCCCGCTCTTCAGGGGATACCCCCCTCTCCCCGACTCTGCCGGGATACCCCCCTCTCCCCGACTCTGCCAGCACCTCACGTGCCCTTCCAGCAGCAGTGCCCTCTCCTCCGAGGGCTGGCTCAAGGCCCACACAGCGCTCTCTCTAAAGTTCTAGGTTCTTTGCTCACGCCAACCTCTTCACTGCATTCCCCTGGCCCTACGGATGGCAGCTGCTTCCTACATTTACTTCAGCATTCCCTTCTGGCTTTTTAAATTCTTCAGCATGTGTTAACTTAATTCTCTATGTTAAATTACTTCTACTAAAATAATAAACGTGGTTTCTGACTTCCTGACTTCACTCTGAACTAGTAGAGGCAGTAACCAAAATTAATGGGTCATGTTTCTCTAAGTATTCCACAGCTTTCTGGCACTGGCAGTTAATGTTAATTTTATTAATTGCTTATAAATAATATCTATTTGGATTGTTAACCAGAAAATATGCTAGTTTTTCAGACTGCTTTTTCCCAAAGATGTTTTATATTATTAGCAACATAGATCTGCAAACGTAAAACGTCTTCTTAAACATAGCTTGTTCCTTTAATTAAATTTCTTATGTTCTTTAATGATGTTTACATTTGAATTTGCTAAGTTGTGTAATTTCTTCATAAAGAATAGAAAAGGCTGAGCAATCATACATTTTAAAAAGTAGTGGAGCCCACATGACTAAATTTCAACTCTAATTCAAATATGTTCCTGGGTGGTTTCCTATTTTTTCTTCTTAAATAAAATTATTAAAGATATATAACATATAAAGGAATGCACGTACCATGTAAGAAATAATTAAATGAATACCCATACAGTCAGTCTCCAACTTAAGGAAACAGAACATAACCAATACTTTGGAAGAATTCAATGTCTTCCCCATGTTCCTCCCGCAGGGCCAGAGGTAACTATTACCTTCAATTTTGTGTTTCCCACCCCCTTGCTATCCCTAAACAAGTACAGTACTCTCACCCTTATCCATAGTTTTGCTTCCTATGGTTTCAGTTACCTGTGGTCAACCACAGTC